TGAAAGTGCACTGTATCGAAAAATGTATTGTATCGTGGTCTATGTATCGAGATATGTATCATATCGACCACTTCTTAATGATACCCAGCCCTACTTGACGTCATACTTTTTCATGGACTAATGTGAAAATAACCATCTCAGTACAATTTTAGCATCTGTGCTGCTCTATATAAAGCCTGGTGTTTATGCGTTGACTTGCACTTTGCCTCGGCCTCTTTGGGGTGGTCCGTGCCCTCTCTCTCCTCCTCAAATCACAGTGAATGTTTGTAATTTCTCACGCGTCATCTGTACATTCATTCCCAAAACTGTGCAGACTGCCTCCCCTTTAGCTCCTGCGTTGTGACCTGGGCTTGTCAAATAAAAACAGCAGTTATTCCGTGACCTCGGCGCTCCAGGAAATAGTCGGGTCCATGCAGCGACAGCCTTGAAATAGGGAGCTGTGGTGAGGGGACTGCGGGGGTTTTGTTGAAACATGAAACAAAAGGTGGTCTGGCCTCTCCATCCACAGTATCAGGTTTGGAGAATTCAGAAAAATGCGCCGTTGCTTGGAAAAATCTTGTATGAGACCATCTGTATATTTGCCAAGCTGAGGTTTCCCCCCAGTGAAAATATTTACTTTGAAAAAAAAATCTCTGAAGTATTTATTTCAATGTCTGTTCCATCGGCGTGTCCTCCGTGTGGTTTGGGCTGTACTTGGTCCTTGTAGACTTCACTGGCAGAGCAGACAGGAGTGATTCCATAGCAGGGTATAGTCAGCTTCACTGTAAGGGCGATAATTCTACTGTCACTGTTTGGCAAAAGTCTAACCAAGTGCAGATTTATCTTCATAGTTATTCAATCCTCAAATGTTCAAATGTCAAAAATCAGCCTTGCCAAATGTCTGACCTCACTCAAGACCTCAAGATTTTTTTTTACTTAAGTAATGTTATTGCATTGCTACAGGGAAACATTGCACTTTGGGGATTTTTTTTTTTTATGCCAGGTGCCCTTCCTGTCACGGACACATACTGTATAACAGAGCAATGTGTAAAGTCAATATTCACAGACACAGTGGGAACTGAACCAACCAACCTCCTATTTGTTGGTAGTCTGGTTAACCCCAAAACCACGGTCAACGTCACTTCTTACTAAGAGATGTCCAAGTTACATTCATGAAATTCAAGATATTTTATTGGTTTAAGCCACGACTCAATATCCTATTCAATTGCACAGGACTTAGCATTACAGACTGTTGCATAATTTTAAATGATTTACTTCACAGGACAGTGCAGCCCCAGTGTGGTAGATATTCACAGGGTGATGTTATGCTACATTTCAATTATAAGACTTGTTAACTGGAGCTATAATGATCCCAAAGCAAACAATGGTTATATTAGTTCAACAGTCTTTAGTTAAAGATGGTATGTTTTGTGTTCTGTCTGTGGTTTCTGCAGGTGTGGCAGGTCAGAGCTGCTTTGAGTGAATGCTGAGTGAAAGTGAATGGTGTGAGGTCTTCAGGGGGGGTCATGACCTTTAATGGTCTTGCCCTGACTGGCCAGAACTCTGACAGAGAGGTCAACACTGATCCACATGGACCAAAGACTGGGACCCAAGACTTAAGACATAAGACCAGGACTGGAAAAGACTGTGTGTAGGGCAAGAGTCAAAGCTTTGGATATAAAGAGCCCCTAGAGCTGGATCAGACTTGTCATCTGTTAAGTCTCACCAATGTCACCAGTGAAAAAGGATAGAAAAGGTGTAGCATCCTATAAGCCTTTAATGGACTGTTGACCCTAGAGCATTAAGAAGTCCAGAGATGGTTCATTCAGAAAAGATTTATTCCATCAACGCTGCTTGGTTGCTTATAAATACTGTTACATTGTGGATGTTGTATTTGTAGGATATAACGCACTATATAGACAACCCCAATCTGATATCTAAAAGCTAATTACTCTTTTCTATTGTAAACAAATAATCACAAAGTATGCAAACTGCAGCATAATCATTAACTTCACTCTTCTGAACTGGCTGTCATTGAGGCTTGGTGTCAGGTCAAGCTGTGAACAGAAAAGCTGGCTCGGCTAATTCATCACCATACAATAGATCAACCAGTCCTGAGTAATTACAGACCATTGAGGAGGTTTTCCATGTGGCTCGCATTACCATGGTGACTGGTGTGATTGACATCTATCTCTCTAATGAAGTGAATAAGCAGAAACAAGTGCCTTAAAGTACAGATGGATGAGAGCATGCCTATGTTTCCTCAGCCCTATGTTCCCTCTGAAAGGACTCTGAATTATCCCTTTAATGCGGTATAAAAATAAAAATAACTCGAGTTTAATTTTGAGAAAAATCTTACAAATAAGGGAACATAGGACGACCCCAAATGGGTGACTGGTTACTAATCCAAGTTACTAATCAAGCCTTATTTCTTCAAAGAGATTCTGTATGATTCTGTACTTTTAACTGAGCTATCATAAAGGTGTACACAGTTTCTGTAAAAGGTTACAGTATATTCATTATAGACTTTTATTCAAAAATAAACATTGGATGAATGGCATCTATTGGCCTGGCCAGACATGAGCTCTCTGTATTACAGAGGATCTCTGTCTGGTCTCTCAGATTTGTATATCCAGCACACCTGTCTTCAAGTAACTACAGGTTTATGATGCTTCACAGAATTTACATTGCACAAGTACTTCTTTTCAGGACAGACCCTATGGAAATGGCACTGATGTCACTAGTGAAAGACTAATTATGTTGCTCCGCTCACATCAATAGTCTTGCCAAAGCTAATGTCTGGAGAGGAGTCAGGAAACACTGGCACAGACAGACAAATGCACCAGCCCATTGACTTTCAGCTAAACATGTACATCATAATTCATTCTCCACTGTAATCCTCAAAACGACAGCTGTGCCCTCAGCCAATCAGAGCCCAGCCCAACACGCAAACAGGAAGTGATGGGCATAAACACCGACTAAAGACACAGTAAACAAAACCAAGCAAACACTAGTGCAAGGCTGATTAAAGGGGAGAGACATTTTCTGAAGAGGTGTTCGAATACACAAAGTACACAAACAGACAGTGATGAGACATGATCTAATCTCACGGCGCTGAGTGAAAGTCAACAAATCAAGGTGAGGCCAGATGGAGACGACAGGATGTAGGCTAATGTTAGGTCTGAGTTGCTCACTTCAATTGACTCCAAACATGTTCATTACATGGGTGTTTTTCCATGTCGTGAGAATAGCGCAGGCAATCACCTTCTGACAAACAGCTGCCTTCTAAGAAGTCTTTAACATTTCAGTGTTTCTGCACAGTGTAACAATGACAAATTCTCTGACTGGATGATAAAAGCTCACCAAGTTTGTTCAATAAATGAAGTGATGCAAGTGCCTAATACAGTCTCTAACTTTTCACACCAAGTAGCCTACCTGTTATATAGGGCCTCCCTAGGTCGACAAAGTCTAGTCTAACAAAAACACTACACTAAAACAGATTTAAACCTGTGCTAAAATAACTTCATATTTGCCAGATCTGCAAAATACCAATCTTTAATGCCCTAGACCTGTGCTCTTACTGTTTTGAAAAGGGTATTGCAATCACAAATTAACCTGGGCTGCCAGTCTAAACCATACACTTGCAGAGGACACATATAATGTTTCTCAGTATATAAAAAGGCCATGCCTCATACGCAGACTCAGAACCTCCTGAATTAACTCAGAGATGATTGGCTGCAGGCACTGGGGTTTAGGTAACGAGGATTCAAATCACTGTGAGTCCATTTAGGTTTAAACCAACTGGATTTCAGCACTGGAGCTGGCAACCCAGACTCACGTGAGGCTCATTCTGTGTTCTGATTGGATAATTATCTTTAGAAAAAAAACATAAAAGAATAATCAAATCAGCATTAGAAATGTTATCAGCAACACTGACCTAATATAATAAAACATCCACTCAGAGCAATATGATCACAAGTGAGTATCCCATCTAGGTACTTTGTATTTGAAAAACACACAATGAATTACTAATGTACTTCAGCAGCCGGTGTGTTGCACTGAGCTGGTCCAGAGCCTGTTCTGTGAGGCTGCACATTTGAATGTTGGTAAACTGTGGTTTAGCCCTGGCCTGGTGCAGTCACAGGGTCAGTGTGTGCACATGTTGTTGACACAGAGTGGTTTTGAATCAAATATCCGATAAATCAAACGCAGCTCAGCAACAAACAGAGCTCTGTGATAATCCGTGTATGGTCCAGTCTTCTTTTCAATTTTGAGTCAAATAAAAAACTAACCTCAAACTATTAAATATAACTGTATATACCACTTTATTGTAGCTTATATATTGTTTTCCCATTAGTAACATGTTATCCACAATACATGCACTGACCTTTGTTTGTTAATTCAAGTATTTCTGTAAATAAACGTAAATTTAAAAAATAACTACAGGGCATGAGAGTGCTTTACCTTAGTGCCTTCCTTGAAAACTCAGTGTTTGAGGTTACTGGAGTTCCAGACAAGGAAGATACATCCATGGACTTGTATTTTGAGAGCCACACCTTGCAGGGGGCAGGGCTGAAACAAAAACATAGCATTCAGTACCACACATTAGTTTGGGCTACTGGAAATAAAGGCAATCCCACCAGTTCAACAAGACCTTTTACGTGCATTTGCCTGCTTGAGAACTGGAGCCACAACTTCACTGAGAAGTGCTCAAGCAGGAGTTGGCAGCCCATGAGTTGTAGTCAGCTCCATACAATAAAAATAGCTTATAGGTTTCAGGTTTATTATTTTTTACATATCATAGACTACGCACTGATTTAGGAAGCTAATACAAAATGCTAAAAAGCCACATTATTTGCATGATATTGTGTATTTGCAGTGACAGTGAGTGGCTACTACTATCGCATTAGTCCCAGTCCAGCGGTGCCAGCTGAGCAGCTCTGACAGGCAGCGTGGCAGAGAGTGTTGCTTCTGGTAACAAACTTTGGACCAATCAGAGCGCAGCTTGTTTTCCTGCAGCAGAAGACACAGAAGTTGAACCTGGATCTCTCCACGAAGAATCCGCGCTTTAAATCAAACTGTCAATGCGGCATTACTTCTGCTAACACACGCGACAACCAATTTATGTCAATGTAGGAGGCAGATCTCAGAAATGACAATGTTGGGTATGTACGTGCCAGACAGATTTTCCCTCAAATCGTCTAAGGTCCAGGATGGAATCGGTCTTTACACAGCGAGGCGGGTGAAAAAGGTTTGTTTTTCCTCTGATCGGACATTTCTTTAGTTTTAGCACGTCTAAAACTTTGCCTAACCCCAGATTCTTTCACTTTGATGCGTTTAATCCGCTATAGTCCTCCTGGTTGTTGTCAGAAACATGAGAGAGAGAGCCCCGGGCAGCTCTGACGTGAAGTGCCACGTAGCTACAGTATGGGCTCGTGCTCCATAACAAAGCTGCTCACGTCGGAGGAAGGGTCGCGCGACTGTCTCGTGCGCAGCGTAGTGGCTACATTTTACACGCTTAACTGTTTCAGCGTATTGTGTCTGTCTTTACCTGTGGAGTACAATGCAGATGACAGTCCTTTAAAAGTCTGTGGCAATCCCAGGAGAGTATTTTTATTAATGCATCAAAATGATTAAGCATCTTATTACAACTTCTCTTAACTAGATGTCACATGTGCTGCCGTCAACTTCAGTGATAAGACAGCAGCACGACTAGAATACAACAGAGTTAGGCCACGCCCCCTGACTCTAGGAACTCCTGGAAGTACAATGGGAAAAATAGAGCGATTTATTTTCATTTTTATAGCAAGCACACTTCTGTGGCTGTCCAGTTTATAGCAGTGTAAATCTTACACATACTGTAGTTTGTTGTAGCTTACAGTTTGTTAACCCTAATCCTTGGGAAAGTGTTTGACATGTAACATATTGTTCATTTATTTAGGGAGAAAAGTTTGGTCCATTTGCTGGAGAGAAGAAGCTGCCGAGTGAGCTGGATGAGAGCTCAGACACAAGGCTTATGTGGGAGGTAATTGCACACATCCTAGAATAAATGCTTTTTTTGTCTCTCTTGTTGAACAGACATAAGACAGTGTATGAAAGTTGGACCTGTTGCACTATGACTAAAAGTTAAAGTCCTTTATTTAGGCACCGGGGACATGCTGACATGTTTTGACTACAAAGTGGTCTTCTGGGAAAACACCAAGTATGAAAGCTGGTTTGAAAATGCCAAGCTAATTTGATTCACAGTATCCACCTTATTGAGGAACTTGCCACAGGCGGGTTCTACTCCTCCTGATTTTGAGGAGCTCCTTGGAAATGAGATGGCAAAACATCTCAAGGACCTTATCCTCTAAAAATATAAATTAGAAATTTGTGTGATTCTGCATACGACAGATCATATTATACAGATTACGTAGTCGTTTTCAAGCCACCAACAACATGGGCATTGTTTTAGCCGGCAAGACTTCTCTCTATACATCCATTCAAATGGATTGGTGTCCGGCTTAAACTGGCATTGCCAACATGAACAGAAGTGCAGGTCAGTCTAACGTGGCAGAACAAGATGGAAATGTTTTGATATTTTTACTACAATAAATAACAGTTTACTGTAGCTCCAACCACTTTGGCAACAAAGGCATTTTTCCTAAAATAAATGCTAGTCCAACCTGAAAATTATGCTATTCTAGTCTTTGTGCTACCCCCAAACCCTGTAAAATGAGAGGTTAATATTAGTTAGGGCATCTGATCTAAAATGTTAGGGTTAGGCCCCATTCAGGATGCACAATAATAGTGTATAATTCATGCTTGCACATCAAAAGGCAAGCGATGAAAGCATGGAGTGTTTTAGGTAAGGGGTTTGAAAACAACAATAATTTCTATGCCTCATTTTTGAGAAGAGAGAGAAACGGATATGACTTGTTATTGAGGCAGGGTGTAGTTGCCCTGTGAATGTATGACAACTCTACCACTGAGCCACCCAACGTTCCAGGTTATCTGATGAATACAATCAATTTCTTGGGTTAATTTTCTGAAATGAGGCATCTTTGTTCATACAAAGGCCAGATTGGAGAAAGAAAAGTGAAAGAAACACCGCCCCATCCATGCAACCCCTTTATTTGAAAGATAGAGTAAGATGCAGAACAAATGCACATATAAATAGCTGGAGACATGTCTTATTCCAAAGGCTGTGATGTAGTTATCTGTAGCTGCCACATTGTAAGGCTGTGCTCAGTCCACATGATGAGGTGCTAATGTGTAGAAGCCAGACACTTTGATGTATCAGGACAAAGGCAGCGAGTGGGTAAGCTGATACTCCTCTGTTTTCTCCCAGGTCCGCGGCAGCAAAGGAGATGTTCTGTATATTTTGGACGCCAGTAATCCGCGTTATGCCAACTGGCTGAGGTTCGTCCACCAGGCGCCTTCTCAAGAGCAGAAGAACTTGGCAGCAATTCAGGTATATTTTCTTTTCGCTGGACAATGACTCCCTAAATGAGCGGCAAATTGTCCTGAAAGGGAAAAGACATCTTCATTTTAGAAAGGGTTGATTCTCTGGGATTCAATACAAGTGTTTACAAGCCAGAGCAAGGGACTGCATGCCCTGTATTTCTCCAATCAAAGTACAGCTGCATGCATACACTGCACTCTGACTAGGATTGATGAGGCTTTCGTAAACAGCAAACAAATATTTGTTTCCCAATGTTTTGATCCACTATGTTTAAAAAAAATAAAGTCAAAACAACTTGTTGAGCAATGAGATGTAATAGAAACAAATTACTTGTCAACAAGGCATTTTCTAATCTGTCTGGAACAGAAGTGATGTGTTTATCTATAATGTTAGCAGCTTTTGAGTAGTCAACAAATACAAATACACTAAAATAAGATGACGTTTTTGATTTGCATTGTGGAGTTGTTGTAGAGCTCTTGAGCTACGCTGACACGTGGTACAGGTACAGCTATTATTCCTTTGGGTTTTTTTTCGAATGGGAGGGACCCTATTAATTAACCAAAATTATTGCCAAACGAAGGGACCAAAAATATTTAGTTTGTTATATCTTCATGGGTTTGTTTTAGGGATTCTCTTTTATTTTTCACAGACACTACATTGACAAGCTTTACGTAAACAACAGTATCCAGACCCGTACTAACCAAACAGCACTAACTAGCTCTAAATCTGAGTTTAAGCCCTAACCATAACACTCTGACATCCACCCTCACATCTCGTCTCTGTGAAATGTCACCTCTGTCCCTTCCAAACATAAATAGGATTATTCTTTTCAAAGCGGATGAAAAATATAGCTGCAGAAATGAAGTGAAGATGAACATTTGGGGTCTGAAGGCAAAGTCGCTGCTATTCATTTGAAACTGTCCTCTGTGATTGGTCGTTTAGGGGTCGTCCGTGCGTTTTTAAGCTCTGCCTTCTATCAACTTTGACATTTATTGTGCGGCTTTCCTCTTCGTAATCATTATTTATGTATATTTAGAATCCCATTGCTAAAACACTAGCACTGGGTTGATTTTATTAGCATGACCCAGAAGACGCCAAAGTTAACGATAACATTTTTAAGCGGTTTGAGCTTTTGACCCCTGACCTCAATCAGCCTTGGTTAACTGTTGTTTTTTGGATCTAATGAGTTCAACATTGGGCCAAACTAAACAGTAACTTATTGTTGATGTCCTTAAAATGGATTCAGTGTTTCAGCAATCAGACATAATGATTTGCCATTATGCATAAATATATTAGCAAAAGGCTGAATAGTTTATAGTTGTATGATCCAAAAATACCAAGGCTTTTTAAAGTAAATCGTGTGCTTTGTTGTTTTACTGCCAAAAATACTAAAAAGCTACAACCTCTTTTTTTTTAAACCATCTATATTATTATACTATAATAATATACATATGCATTTGAATAATACTTACGGCGCCATGCATGTATCTATGATGTGGGTTTTACTGCTGTAGCTATAGATGCATAATCCAGTCGGTCAGACAGTTCAAAGAGTCTAATGAGAAAGCTGATGTCTTTAAATGGGCTCCTTGTGTTCAGCCATACGTTGCTCTTAGCATTAACTCGTGTAATAATATCTTTTAAATGAGGCAGATAGCATAAGCTAACAGTTGCTAATGTACTCTCTGCCCCCTTACTGGCACGCCACACAGCACACTAGTCATTATTGTTTTACACAGCAACTGAAGTGACTTTCCTGCTCTGAAAAAAGTTTTACCTTGCTAGAAAAGAAAAAGAACAACTAACAAACTAGATATAAACTGATTTTTTTTTTCATGGCTGTTGATTAGCCTGATTCATCAGCCATTTTCACTTCGTGGAAACTGTCTGAACTCGCAACGGTCTACTTGGACGGTAGGCAGGTACTTTTTTATTTAACCAATTGCTGCTATTTGGTCGTGATGTATGTAATGCACCTCTAACGGGGCTAACTGGTATATTAAGCTTTTCCCAAATCTTGTAGGAAGAAGGGCAATGATGTATTTCCCCTTGATAAAATTCAACAAACACTCTTTTTGTTCCGGCTTTAAATCCTCGTTCTCAGGAATCGTTACCAACACAGAAATGTACGGCTTCGTCTATGTCCATCTTGACTGCTTTGTTTACTGTTGTGCTGTACCACAAAAGGGACCCAGACAGGCGCTTGAGTTTGACGTCATGGCTTCACAGCTCTTCTCTGATTGGCCAGTGCGTGGTTTACAACTTCTGGGGTTCTTACAAACCGTCTAGTGTATTTCGATTCTTGACCTAGTCACTGGAGAGAAATGAAATTGCGCAGAGGCACTAGCCTGGCTAGATATTAATACTGATTGTTTAGAATCCAGAGGAAACCAATTCTTACCTAAAAACTGCAAATATCAATGTGATACATTTCTAAAAAGTAGCAAAATTGAATCTAATGCTATTATCTATTCATGTTTAATACATTTGTGCATTTGTTTTTTGTTGTGTCTTAGGATGGAGAGAACATCTTCTACCTGGCTGTGGATGACATAGAGACAGACACGGAGCTCCTGATTGGCTTCTTGGACAGTGACATGGAGGAGGAGGAGGAGGAGGAGGAGGAAGAGGACACTAAGGATGAAGATGAGAACAGCAAAGAACCCAAACATTTGGTTGAGATGGGTACAAAACAATTTTTTCATGTAGTTATGAACTGAACCTAGTTTTGGTCTGTTTTTTAATTCTAATATGTAAATTGAGTTAAACTTGACTTAGAACTTGTTTTTGATGTTTATATTAGTCAATTATCACCACAAGATCAACATACTATGTGGATATATGTCCTACTCTCTCAAAAACTCTTACAGGAATAAAACACCTGTCTGTTGGTCAATGTGGAAAAAAAAAAAAAAAAGAAAATCTTGATACGTTTTCCCATAGGCCCAACATAAAAATAGTTGTTCATGAAAATCCTAAAATGGCTTGTAATCTTAGAGTTGCTACAGTCAGTGCCTGTTCATAACACAGCCACAGAAATTATTTCCATGTTTGATCTGTGGCTTCATTATGACCCACTCTTTTCAGAACTGGTCATAAAGAAGGAGGACCACCCCTGCTTGCTGTGTGAGAGCAGTTTTCCCAGTGAGGAGATTTTGGCGGCGCACCTCCAAAGCCTGCACCAGAGGCCCAGCACGGAGGAGAAGGAGTTCAAATGTAGAAACTGTGGCAAAAAATTCCCCATCAAACAAGCTCTGCAGCGCCAGTAAGTTTACAACTCCATCACTCACTTAAAACCATTGTCGTATAACGTTTCTTTGACTGCGCGCCATTGCCTTGTCCTTTAAACGTCAGAAAATTGGTCCAATATTATTCATCCAGACATAATCCATGGTTTAGTTAAATAGTTTAGTCTCCAAAGTACAAAATGTTGACATGTTAGCGTCAGATAGCTAATAGGTTTTGACTTGAAATTCTGCTTTAGTGTTTTGCATTGCTCCGAATCGCTGGATCCCTCAAGCGACTCCAAAGCACATGAGTGTTCGCTCTGCCATAACACTTTCAGCTCCGAGTCCAGGTAAGCGGGCAATAATTAGGTCAGTGCAATTTAATAAAAATATAATAGTTTTAATTAATATGTTTCTTTGCTTTCTGTAGTTATGAGCAACATAAAGAAGCCTGTAAAGGAGACGCCAGGTTTATTTGTAAAGCAGAAAGCTGTGGGAAAAGATTCAAAAGCAAAGATGCCCTGAAGAAACATAAAGGAAATGTCCACTCAGGTAAATATATCACAGAGGCAATACCCAGACCGTTATGTTTACATTTTGTGTATAGCGGCCAATTGCGCAAGTCATTAAAAAAAATCAGGGTTTAAATTTTGTGCTGAACTTCCAAATTGTCTTCAAGGAAATATTTAGTTTAGCACATTTTTTTTTTACAACAAAAATGCACTGTGTTACCATAGAAAAAGCTCAAATCAACAATACCAGTTTAAACAGGACTAATATTGGTTCAAGATAAGCTATACATTAACTACAGTGTATATTTAGCTTTGCCTAACAGTACCTTTTTCAGTGCGCACCAATGCCACCATAACATTTCAGACTGAATATTTTTGAATGAGAGTGCCATCTGGTCCATGTCACAGGGGTAGAACACTTCTCCATACAGCTCATATCGCACTTATATTCCCACACAGGCCATTTTCCTCCTCCCTCAAACATCACATGGAGTTAATAGTCCATTAGCAGAATCAGCTCTGGAGGAAGTGCAGCACAGGGCTCATCGGGGATCATTTAAAATCACAGCCATGTTGAGACACTTGTCTAATTACTCGGGCTTCATAACTGCTGACCTGAGTGCTCTGGGCGGCTCACTCGCTCACATAATTGGTCTTCCACTGCCGTTCTGTATCAGATATAGGGCAGAGGGGAAATGTGAGGGCTGAGTTTAGATTTAACTCAAGATTAAGAGGCGAGTTTTGGACATAAACAAAACTGAGACCTATACTATTGTCATACCAAATCTTACTCAGTATACTGACTTAGAACTATCTTAAATTGAATAATATAATAATTACTTCAATACAGGCAATAAGGGTATGACCAGGGGGTATCCAGTTTAGCAGAAACTTTAATTCAAGTTTAACTTATTCCTTAAAGCTCACACAAGGCTTTTCCAGACAGGCTCAAATCCAGTTTCCATTGTAACTTCATGAGATGAGCTTGCTTTTTTATATATATAAATATATATCTGCTTAATTTGCCAAACCAGGCATATGAACTTTTGTTTTTCTGGGACAGACTCTGCACCAGAACAAAATCCAGGGTAAACTACGACAAAACCAAGGCTAAATCAGTACTGAACTTGCACTAAACCAGACCTAAACAGAGAATGAACTGAAGCACAGTCAGCAACAGTAGTTGCCAATGACTGAACCAGAACTACACCAGAAATCATAAACAAACCAAAACTTTGACTACAGCACAAGTAAACATTCTCAACCAGGGCCACCACTCACTCAGAACTAACCGTAATCTGAGTACCACAATAAAAAGCCTGTGTACCTCCAGTGGTAACAGCAACACAGTTTTAGAGGCACAAGAACAGAGCATAGACCAGTGTATGTTTTACCAGTGTGGTCAGGACTGGGCTGTGTGGGTGTACCAAACAGGAAGTGCATCAGACTGACAGATGTGGGTCATGTGACTCAGATTGGGCAGGGGGGTGGGTGTTTAAAACCTCTCACAATGGTGATCAAAAAAAAAAAAAAAAAAAGTTTCGGTTGATGAGTAAAACCTTTGCTGTTTCTTTGTAGCGACATAATGACTTCACAGATCATCATTGTTTTATTATGAGCCTCTGTGAAGCTCTTTGTTCTCTCCTCAACACGTTTTATTGTTTTGTCCAGTCCACTTACAGAAGGGATGAAAGTCTTTTCATAGAAAGCGATTTGCAAGGCTCTACAAATAAAGTTGGATCAGTACGGATATTATTTTCTGAAAATTCTCAGTACAGAAATTATTAAAAGACTCTTTCAGCATTTTCACACCAAAATAATAATATTGTACTAAACTATTTATCAAGTTAATTAAGTTAAGATTTCAAGCTGCTATTGGTGGTTTTCAGATTCTTTCAGATACGATTGATTACATTGTACTTTCAGTAAAACATTTTTAAAAGTATATTCACCAATGTTTAACCTGATCATTTCTATTATTAAGTAGACCTTAGCACACCACTCGCTATACTGCAAAAAAAAGCATTTTTACAATATTCTTTTTACCTTCCTCCATCTGTACTAAATGTTATTGCCGTACAGAATGCTGTGAAATTATCTGAAACCCAGCAATATTGTCTTATTATCAAATTACATACCTTACATACAGTCACTAGTAGCCCAATAAAAATACAGTGTACTAAAACATAGCCTTATTTGTTTTTTTCATAGTTATTGTACATTTCTTTGTGTGTATTTCCAGGCAGTGCACGGCGGAAACTGACTTGCACCATATGTAACAGAAAGTGCTCGTCTTCTCTGAACCTCCAGGAGCATCGGAAGGTAAAGCTCTCCTCAGACAGTAGACTCAGGATTTAAACAGATTAAACCATTTCACTGCTAAGTATCTCTCTACTTTCTGGCGCTTATTCTGGAGTTTTCTATACCCCATGTGAATATGACAGCTGGACAGACTTCTATATAACGTGTTACATAAAGTGGAAAAAGCTAACACTGCAGTTTTGTTACATTCACATACTATCTTAGCAATGAATCGTGTATAACATTTTCCAATGCGCTATTTAAGCAGGTCCAAGGATGAAAAGTCCAAATAAGTAAAATATAGGCATGCTTTGAATCCCAAAAGAAATAGTATATACAGTAATAGTAGCAGAAGTACATTTAGTAGCAGTAGCAGTAGGATTTGCTGTACTAATAAAAGACACAATACTAGAAGCAGTCGTAATAGTATTTGTCATAATGCTAGCAGCTGAATATGATTGTTTTTTGAAGTAGCAGTAGTTTTAGCTGAGTACAAGTTTTGAGTACTTGTACCGCCTCTGGGTAGTAGCATTAGTTGGTCTTGACCCTTGTAATAAGACAGTGATAAATCCTCTTATAATGAATTAACTTGTCCCTTGATGTTGTTCATTAATTTTCGCTGGTCAGCATCCATCATGCAGATTAATTAAGAGGTGCTCATTTGTTTCTGTCAAATTAATGAATTACTGAGCTATTTGGGAACATCTACATTTTTTATGACACATAGAAAAGACAAAGTTCACCTGGGTTTGGAGTTGGCAGCCATTTTAGTTATTTTTTTGCAATTAATATTCTACCAAAACTATAACCACTACTCCTACTACTAGTCTCACATAATATTATTGTGAATTATATTGTAAGTAAGGCTGTAACAATATCCAAATCTCTCAGTACGATATTATCACGATATGCATCTCGCTTTACGATATATTTTGGAGAGGATAATATAATTGCAGATAGGGCACTTTTTTGCTTTTAAAATACCTTGACAAGATATTGGTGTGAATTATTTCCATCATAATCCCAAGAATTAAAGTAAAATACATATTTCTTTGTGTTGTGTGCGCTGAAATGAATCATGGGATATGTAGTTCACCATGTTTATAAGGTGTTGCTACTATAAAACCACGCATTTAAGCAAAGAAACTTGTAATTCTATATATTGTGACAGCCCACGATATTATTGTGAGACTTTTGACGATACAATATTACAATATTTTGGTTATTGTTACTCTGGTTGGTTATTCCTAATTGTAAGTTACTGTTTCTATATTTTTCCCTAAGACAGGACAGCTGAAAACATGTCAAAGCTTGATATTTTAAACTCCTACTCTTATATATGTACAAATAGCTGAGAAGAGAAAAGAACACCCCATAACATTTTTATCATATATACTTTAAAATATACAGCTCTCTCAATTTTGTAACCACTGAGACTGTCGATAAAGTTGTCCAAGATTATTACAATAACAGGTTAGTTACACAGAGTACACAGTGGAATAATCACGCACTCCTCACAAAGACAGCGTCGCCAAAGAAGCTTAGCTCTGCCATTATCGTCATTTAGCTGAACACGCTTTTGCATTAGCCACTGTGACAAGAGGGAGCTGCCGAATTAGCATATGCTATTGAAGCTGTTCATCTGGGAGCCATTCATTGTACAATTATTATTAGGTTTGAAAGTTTTCATCACTTTAATTGCTTTTCTGCCTTTAGCTGTCAATGTAGAGAAACGGACAAGCTCTACTTCCTGTTAACCATTATGAGCACAATGTTAACCCATCAGTGTTGAGATTGTTGTGTGTTTTTTTTCCCTCACTCCAGATACATGAGATATTTGAGTGCCATGACTGTGACAAGAAGTTTATCTCCACCAATCAGCTCAAACGCCACATGATCACGCATTCAGGTGAGAAAAGTACCGTTACTTTAGGATCTATATATTACAAATTGGGCTGGGTACTGCTTAAAGGTACCAATAGAGTACTGAATAAAAAGGTTAAGTATTTAATAAACCAAAAACTGCTACCAAAGTGTCACCACAATTGACAAAAAAACACACTCTTATTCTGTTATGCAGATCTAGATAATTACAACAATACAATTTTCATACACATTACAGGAATATTTATGAAAAAAGTACAGTTCAAGTTCTAGTACCAAAATCAGGTATCATTCAAGTATTGGCACACAAAAGTAACTGAAAGGTAACCAGCCCTAATTATATAAACATTTTAAGCTGAATTATGTTTGTGATCCTACAGAAAAGCGTCCGTACACATGTGAGGTGTGTAATCGCTCGTTCAAACGACTGGACCAGGTCACAGCGCATAAGATCATTCACAGTGAAGACAAACCATACAAGTGTAAACTGTGTGGGAAGGAGTTCGCTCATCGAAACGTCTACAAGAATCACAAGAAGGTGAGTCAATATGCAATTTAACTGGAGGCTTATGGGTAATTTATTGTTATTGAGGATATCTGTTCAATCGTATCAGCTGGACGTCTTTGAACAAGTCTGTACATTGCAAGTGTTACTGCAGATTCACCGTTGTTTTTCTTATGCAGCACTGATTTGGTGACAGCTCATTAAGTAGCAAAATGGTCTATTCTGTGGTAAAACTCGGTCAAAAAAATGCCCTAAGAGACCACGTATAAACAAGAATTAAAAAGTTAGTTAGTTAGTTAGTTCAAGATGCATTATGCAACTTTTCCAGAGGAGTTTCCACCATCTTTTTGTCTACATGGAGATTTGATTGCATTGCCTAGAATGTTACACAGTATGGCATTAAACTTGATCTTGATCTCTATGGCGTCAAATAGGTAAATTATAATAAAATCTACTTTTGGATTAGGTAAATTATAAATTAGATTTTAGGGAGAGGTAACCCAGCTCACACAAAAAAAAGTTTGACCTATAAAAATACATGTAATTTAATAAATCCAAACGTTTGAAGTCCTGCTGGGGAACATTCGAGGTAAAGCATTAACATTTCACTAAGACAAGCAGGTAATGGACCACCAGAAAAGTTACACAGCGCTCCTTTAAAGAGTGACTTATTCACTCATTGGCCATTGTTCATTATGTCTTGGCAGTAGTTCAGTCCTTCAGGCCTGTGTGTGTGGTGGTCTCTGAGGTCTCTGTGCCGGTGTTTACTTTGGGGATTGAGGTGTCATTCAGACAGATAGGAGCGCGGGGCTGGAGGGGGACACAAAAACAGAAGCACTTTGAACCCTGGGCCCCTGGAGCTGCCCGTCTTCATCAAGTCAACAAACACAAACTCATGTGAAGACCTTAATCCTCTCTCCTCCTCCTCACACAGAGCTAAGAAATGCCACTAGGGTACAGCTCCACTTACACTTCATAAACACGCTGATTTTGTTTTTTTCCCTCTTCTTGCTTTTTATTGCTACATCTATCTCACTCTCTTTCTCTCTCTACCTCTTCGTCTCTCCCTCTCTTTTTCTCTATCCCTTGTTCCCTTTATTTCTCCCCAACTTTCTCTTTTGTTCTCTTTCACATTCCTCTTTCTGTCTTTTTTGCTTTTTGCTTTACATCATTCTCTCTCTCACTCCCTGTCTTATCTCTCACTCTTCCTCTGCCTCTCTCTTTTCTCTCTCTTCCGCTTTCTTTTTCTCAATTTCTCCATCTCTCTCACTCCCTTGCTCTCTCTCTCGACTGATCTTACCCCGCCTTCTCTCCCTCTTTCTCTTTCTTTTACACCCTTTCTCTCTGTTCCTCGACTGATCTCACTCTCTTTCTCTTTCTCCCTCTTTCCCTTCCTCTCTCTCTCTCCCTTTCTCTCTCTGTACCCTCTGTCTCTCTCCCTCTCTTCCAGACACACTCAGAGGAGCGGCCCTTTCAGTGTGAGGAGTGCAAAGCCTTATTCAGGACCCCGTTTTCGCTGCAGCGTCACCTACTCATCCACAATAGTAAGTATATCAAGTGTCGTTGAGCTGGAGAGGTTACTTAAGCAAATCCAACATTTCTGTGGCCAAGTGTGTTGTCAGGTTGTCATTTTGAAGACAAATAAATAAGATTGTAAAAAAAATAATTATCATAAAAACTCTGCAAACTAACTAACTAAACTAACTCCATCTTGTACTCTGGTACTCAAACAGTGTCTTAGTTTCAGTTTAGGCATACATTTGCAGTTCATTATGATAAAATGTATAATATACACTTAAACTAACCAATATTGTTTTGTTTAATCCAACTATTAGGTAGGCTAGAGATTGACCAATATGGGTTTTGTCATGCCTGATGCTGACACTGATTGTTTAGAATCCTGAGCAACTGATGGCCGATGAGCTCTGCCGATATTTTTGGAGCAATATGTTGTTATTTTTCTCAAATTATGTCATTTAAATTTACTATAAAACCACCCACAGTCCTTTTTAAACCTCAAATCTATGAGATAGCGCTGTCACAATTTGTGCAGTTGTCTTATCGTACTAAAATTATCAAATAAAGCTTTATGGTATTCTTTAGGCAGTTGATCAGCCAAAACAAAATCAACATGTGCTGGAAATTTAAGGCCGGTAGCAGATATCTAAAACAGGCAGTATTTCTGCTTGAGGTGTTTCGGTACATTTACAGACGTTTCCATTAAAGCCTACAGGAAAACAGTCATAGTCTTAGGAAACCAAACATGCCTTATCACCAGCTGTTTCCAGTTTCTGCGTCTCTCCCCAGTTTGAGATTAGATAATGTTGGGGTGTTACTCTGATACTATACACTTTTTGTTCAAAAAACAGCTCCCAATATAAATACAGGTACAATATATGAAATTATATTGATTTTGGCTGGAATATTACAAACTGGGAAGTTCGTTTCGGCTTGATGCTATCTGATATTTGAACAATTATTTGTAAATACAGAAGTAAGTACATCTGGAAGGATTTAGACATACGGCCAACTGAGCAATGGCCAATTTCTCCTCGAAGAAACGCAACATAAAACTAAAAGAAGATGTCACCAAACTTGTCAAGTTTTGGTACATTAAATCCTACATTCCATATTGGGTTATGAGAATGATAGAAAATCAGATGCTAATCAATACTAAAACTATTATCAGAACTAGACTCATTTGAGCCGGTATCAGTACTAAAAAAGTTTTATTCACAGGACAGAAATGAACCTCTTTTAAATGGCTTTAGAAAGTATAATGATTTAACGTTGAAAATGACATTCTATTGTTTTTATTTTATGATTGTGGTATTAAAACTGGTTTTGAGGATCTGTCTGTTCCTTACTATTGAAATCAAGTTTGAAATTTTACTATTGTGACAACACTAGTCCATACTGCTCATTATAGAAATAGATTTTCAAATAGAGTTTCTATCAAAAACTCATCTTGGTCATAGCGTCCTGGGAAATGCCTTAAACTCCAGACAAGTTGTATAACATTTCATACGTGATAATTTTACAGTGATTGATTTATTGTTCTCTCCCTGTTATTACACGCATTATTCCTCTAAATGCATGCCCTCAATAACCCCAAATATTAGACGACAATGCGCTTTTATTTGCTCTGTTTTATCTGCACGCACTGCCCTAATCCTTTGTCCAGATGCATGCACTTTTCCCCTCAGACATGCTGAAGGACGATGGATAAAATACATTTTCTAAGCATGTTCGTTCACTGATAGTCTCTAATCTGTGCATATTTACAATAACCCCAGATATCCCATAATCCCTTTCCTGTGTCAACCTCCCACTGGGCTGATGCAGAGTGCTGCCCATGCGTTCTGCTTGGTGGCTGTGTGCTGCTGGCCCTGAACATAATAAATAGTGGGGAGACAGAAGTATAAGAGAGATAACAAAAAGGGTTGTAAAAGCTCGAGGCATTTCCTGTCCTTGTCTCAGGAGGCACGCAATCTAATACCAGGATTTGGATAAAGTATCAACACATGCACTGAATGTGGGACGGGAGGCTCTGGTTTCAATGAGAAGGAATAATGCCGCTGAATTAGAGACAACGTGAGGACAACTAGAAGTCATTAAGTTCAAACTGGCCTAAATTACATGTAACAATCCAACAGTGGCGCTCAGATATTGATTTAGCGTTTCCAGCTACTTTGGAATTAGTTTTAATCAGGTCTTCAATGGTTTAATGTTTATTCCACTGCTACTTTCACCTGATTATGGTTTAGTCCAGATTTAGATGGACATTTTGGCTCGTAACAGTTTTATTCCCACTTGCACTTCGCCAAATGGATTCATACTTTAAAGATGTCCGTCAAATACTTTTCTTCATGGAGATAGAGACCAAACCAGACCAAATTACAGGTTAGATCTGCGGCAAGTAGGGATGTAACAATAACCGAAATATCGTGATATCGTTTCGTCAGAGTTCTCACAGTAATACCCTGGACCATCACAATATATCAAATTACAAGTCTCTTTGCTTAAATTAAGAGTTATGGTGTAGCAACAGCTAAAAAGACAGAGGGAACTACATAGACCATGATCCTTTGCTCCATTTCAGTGCAGACTACATGAAGAAGTTCAGTTCCAAGCACTTTTATGTCTTAGCCCTTTGGATTAAGTCTTGTCAAGGCATTTTTTAGAGGAAAAAGAAGCATATTAACAGTTTTAGTTGTTTAGCCTCCACAAAATATTGCAATAAATATCGTACCGTGAGATGTATATTGTGAAAATATTGTACTGAAATATTTGGATATTGTTACATCCCTAATTGTGACCCTTTCCACCATATTGTGAGCTTTCCCATGATATCGCAATAAATATCGCACCGTGAGGTTCATACCGTGATGATATCGTATCGTTAGACTTGGATATGGTTACACCCCTAGTGTCCAGGCAACCCAGCTCACAGTAAGAATGCCTGTTTTTCTAAGTATTTTTGATCAATAAAACCACCTGTAATTCAATAAACGTAAGGTAGATCTGTTTAATGTCATATTACAGAACATTCTATGCAAAGCAATGATATATCCATAGGAACAAGAAGGTGATGGGACCCCCAAGGTTCTACCTGCTATGGTCGCATACTTTTGTCCTGATGTTGGTGGCCAAAATCAAATAAGGAACAAATCTGAAAAATATTAAAATATAAAATGGTGCAAAACGATAAAAGTTACTTATGCCTATCAAAACATGACAAAAAGCATTGACTTGAAACTTTCGAGAGGAAAAAATCACAAAAATGGGCAAACCAAAAGATCCATGTGACCTGCTGGAGAGATCATTTTGGGACATTTTATACTTTAATAGTAATTAATGCTCTTGCTTGTCTTGTAGCAAAGTCAAGGTTTGTTTTAAATGGAAAACTCATTAGGCTGCTGTAACTCTAGACTAAAGTTTTTCGACTACTTGCAGTTTTCAGTGTTGTGCTCTTACATTATGTGGGGATGACAGAACAGGCTCATGTTTGATACTAGGACAACATCCAGCTCCTCAGACCCAGTGAGAAGTGTGTCGAGTGAGGACAGGGACCGCATTCATTATTCTCAAGTGAATGTTTCCAGTTAATGTAAAGACAATGGACCCGTCTCTCAGCGCTGTTCACTTTATTGAGCTGACCATCACCGGCCTTGGTAATAGGAGCCTGTACCCAAACACACACATGCGGTCTGGGCTCTGTACAAACTGAATGATCTGTATAGAATGGAAACAACCACTCGAAAACCTGAGCCGCTGCTGTATAGAACCAGGAGAAGAAAAGGAAGAGAGAGATTCATCTGACATCTGAAGAGTTTTGTAAAATAAACTGACCTTGTTTTTTGTACTGAATTTGGTTACTGCGGTGGGGATGGTAGACAGAGTTTTGGCCATGTTTTGTAAGATCATAAGTTGAATAAATACTCTTATACTAAATGTTTTATTTAAAAAATGTGTGTGGTATATGTTATCACACTAAAATTTCATGCTTGATTTCATGAGGCCTACTAAGGACATTAAGTATTAAAAACATTACCATGTACTTTTATAGAGCAAAACCTTAAAATGGTTTTGTAAAATGTACTACTTTTGTATTTTTTCCAGTCATACTTCAGATGAGTATCTAGGTTTTGTACTAGTCACTGATTAGTAATGGTTCTCTTGACAACCTTTGTGCAAATTATATTGAATATTTTATGTTGGGTTGTAACATCACTATGTTTTTGATTCATTAAGGACTTTGCAGCTCCATATATTCACCATCACAAAGTATGAGTTAAAGATCCTAAGTTTTATGAGTGATTATCCTATTTTTCTGGATGTTTTTCCTTCTTGATACAAAATAAAACTTTATACAGATTTTTCTTCAATAGATTTGTTGATATTACCAACATGACAAGGCAGTTTGTTTCGCCCAAGTTTTCAGCATTCACACAATAAAGGAACAACTTGTGCTTAAAAACTGGACTGGCCCATTGTAAAGCCTTTTGTCCGGCGAATTGAAAAACTCTGCTTGGCCACACAACTGTCTGGTTCAAATTGGGTCCCCACTTGCTGTGCGTGATGACCGTTCTTTTACAGATACAACAAAAGACTGGCAAAAGGCCTCCGAATGGCTTCTTTTTATTTTCCTTTACAATGGTGTGTTTTTTGCTGCAGGTGAGCGGACATTTAAGTGTGACCAGTGCGACGCCACATTTAAGAGGAAGGACACTCTGAATGTTCATATCCAGGTGGTGCATGATGGACACAAGAAGTACAAGTGTGACCTGTGCGAGAAGGCCTTTGTCACGCCATCGGTGCTCAAGAGCCACAAGAAGGTGAGCTACAATGACAGCGGCATTATGGAAAATTAGAAAAGATTTCTAACTGCTGATTGGAGAGATTTAGTTCAGAATTCCCAGAAATTGAAGTGAAGAAATAAATGAGGCACTTTTCACTATGCATAACAATTATACTACTGTAAAAAAAATATATACAGGCAAACCTCATGTCTTCATATTGACAGTGGAACTTAATGATACGTACATCGTGGACATTAGCCACTTTGTAACAGAACTAATATAGTAAATATCCACACATTCATTTATTCAGCAGTTCAGAGTCAGCAAGTTTTATATGCAGCTATGGTAACACATCTACCCACTAACCACTCTGCCGTACTTGTCATGCAATCAAATCTTCATTGTTTTCTACTTTGGCTCCCTGGTACCAGCTACTAACCCTAATGTACAAAACAGATTTTGGAGACCTGGCAGGCCCATCCATCTTGCTGCTGCTGCCCATGGAGACCTGGATTCAGCTCCAGTGTTGATTAGAAATGGCATTTAGTCCATTATCTCCGCAGGGTTTCAAAGTCTAAAACTGATCTGGGTTCAGATTATGGGGCTTAAATTTGACAACATTCTTTGGTGAGTCTGGATCAAGATTGAAACCAAACAGGTTTTTGGCACAGAGCAAAAGGAAATGTCCCGTAGGTTGTCCCAGAACAGTAGGGCTGAATACAGGCATCTGAACTGTCCCGCTGCTAACAGGGGAACAGAGGGCTGCTGGAACCGCGATCAAAGTCAGGTTTCTGAGGAGACCAAAACTCACTCACTGAGAAAAACTGGTTAAAATACACACAAAATGGTGGATCATATTGTTATATCAGGCAGAAAGTTGTCAACAAAAAAGTGATGGTTCCACTGTATGGCATTAAACCTAAATCTGACTTACTCTGTATTTATTTTTAACAAAACAACAACTTTGCAAAGATTATTCTTATTGTGAGTTAAGGTCACTTCTCAACAGATCTGAACTGACTATAACTTGTCTTGTTGGTGTCACTTGCTTGTCTCCATGGAGATGTCATTGTTTTGCAGGGAATGTTCCCCAGTATCACATTAAACTGTTTAATGTCATAGAAAAACATCTCAAATATCTTATTTTTGGGTGAAGTTGTGTCAAGAGGCAGGTGTTGTGTTGGAGTGTTGCACTATTATGACTTGCGTACCATTTTGTAGTAGTCACTTTTTTAATTTGCTAACCTGTAATTTCAATAGTATATCTAATTAATTTTATTACCAGACTGAAAGCGAGACTGATTTATTGTGTCATGTCTCCAAAGCCGGTTGGAGGAGTCCCTGTTTAGTAGTTTCTTGTTTGTGAGTCTACTGTACTATCTGAATGTGTGGGCATGCATGTACTTGTAGTTTATAGGCATCTTTGAGTAAATAAAATGTATTATTATTATTATTTTATTATATTATCCCCTTCTGTCATTGCCACTACAGAAGGATGTGCCCCTCATAATGACTGAGGTGTTATTTGATTAATAATAGTTTTATGTATAAAAACATTTTGATTATTCTAAACACCTTGCCTCAATAAATTTCTCTCTGCCTTTTGACACATTGTGTTCTCAAATGACCAGTGGCTGTTACTGTAAAAAGTCCATCTGTGGTCCAAAATAAGTCACCAAACAACTTTCACCTGCACAACAAAAGGTTTGAGTGGGCTCAGGCCAAGGCAGAATGATAGACCACTGCTCCTGACCCAACTGCACTTAAAGATGGTTCGATGAAAGGGATAATGTACATTTTAATCTTAAGTATATCTTAAGTATATTTAATCTACTATGATTACTGTGCATGTTAACATACAACACATAATTTGGGAATTTAAGCCTCTCTATGCAATCCTATAGACAAAAAAGAAGCTTAAATTTGCCATGTTGTTATTACACTTGAAGACAGTAGAACAGGGGTCTCCAACCTGTAGCTCGGGAGTTACCAGTAGCTCTCCACCCCCTTCCAAGTAGCTCACCAAGGGATTTCTGAATTCTATGTATTGTGGATAAAAAGTAAAATTTGATTAATCACCATTGTAAATGTATAATTTTGATGCCTAACTTGAGGCACCGATAAATGGATAATGGTTTATGTTTTATAAGCATCTAACTGTTCCTCATCTAAGGCTTGTCATGGCTCTTATATTTACTCAGCTTCTTTGCGACTGCTGAAATTGGTAGCTCTCTGGCAATTTGTTTTGTAAAGGTAGCTCACAGGAGAAAAAAGGTTAGAGACCCCTGCACTAGAAAAATATGCATCCATCTTACTGTGAGTGGGCTTGCATCTATTCTCCACAAACCTGACTTTTACTTAACCCAGAGGAGGGCTACCACCTGCTTGTCTCCATGGGAATGTTTTTCCTTTGGCTATAATCTTCCACAGTCTGACATAAAACATATCTATCACCATGGAGAATATTCTGAAGTATAGTTTTAAGTTTCTATTTCCAATGATTCATGCAAATGGTGTGCCACCTCAAGAAAGTGACCCGGTGTTACTTTTACTGGGACTTAACCCGGAATAAACCAGGATTAAACTATGATTAGAACAGGGCCAAACCAAGTCTATATCTGGACTACACTGGGCTCAAACCAGGACAAGTCTGAAAATACTCTGCAAACATCAGGAGAAAATCAAAATGAAATGAAAATTAATGAAATGAAAGAAAAATTCCCACCGTTTAGTTTATTTAGTTCAGCGTGTATTACTGTGTCAGTAGACTGGACATAAGTTTGTGAGACAGCTGCCTTTGTGAGGAGACTGTAGAGGTGTCAGAGGGGCACCCAAGGGCCATGGGGGCCTATAGAGGAGCTGCTCTGTATTGTTATACTGCTGTTGAAACTGTCGCTCCCAGTTTGAATTTTCCATACTCACATGTACTGTTCAGCATGTGTCAGGAGGAGAGAGGGGGAGAGAGTGGATTGACCTGGTGGGACTAAACATTTTTCTTCAGTAGTGTAGATGAGAAGAAGAAATAGATGTAGATAGATAAATAGATAAATAAAACAATTTAATGATAACGATTAATTTATACATTTTGTCAGGTCTCAAACAGCACCAGAGTTAGTAAGCTGAATTTAAACCAAGGCCTCAAACCCATGTGCACGATATATATTTTTACTTACATACATTTTTACGTCTGTTTTACATATTTTTTGATTGCAAGTTGAGTTTAATTAAAAGCCAGAACATTTTTTACTCTAATTCAAGGAAAAGAGTTAGGTTGGACAAAGGAATACATTCTGCATGAGTAAGCCTATCTGCTAGGTTTTGATGCTTTTTCTGTAAAATACCAGAAGGATTTTTTTAAATCATGAAGTAAAAGAGATGTAGTTCTTTCATTTGTGCTCCATACATGAACAGAAAGACAGATATGCACTTTGGCCTTGTGTGATTCTTTATGGGAGTATGGACGATAAAGTAGAAGAAGAAAGATGAGGAGATGAAGGTCTGAGAAGGTCCTCTGGGATTTGTCGTCTGCTCTTTGATCCTGCCTTCACTCCACCATCATGTCAACATCTCCATACACCGCACACTGGAGTACTGGTGCATTGTGGGAGAATATGGAAATGAGGTCAAGAGGGCAGTGGTATCTATGCTTTGAATCTTTGAAGAGGTTATGTTTGACAGTTTAACAGCACAAATCAATTGGTCTATTCCTGGCAGGGTTGGATATGAGAAAGTGCAGCTTTGAAGAAAATGAAAATAAATATAAAAAAAAAAAATGAGACCGCTGTAAGTTTCTGATGAGTATGCCATATAATGTGTGTTAAATTCCTTTGATAACAACTAACGCCAATATGAAAAAAACTCACACGGACACAGACACTCCAATTAAAAATGTAGGTTAGTCCATTTATCAACTAATTTATCAATATTCTTTAGTTGAGAATTACAACATGATTTGAATAATTTGACACTTATGTATTTTTATTGGACCTTTTTTAAACCGGGAAGGTTCTGCTTACAATCTCACAGTCTCTTTTGTAGGGTCCTAGCCCAATTTTGCAGCTTTTCTATTGTTTGGTGTCAGAAAAACAAATGTAATCAGTGTCAGTTTCAGCTGAAAAATGTATCGATATTGTCTACTATACTATATTTACTTACCCTGTTTGCATCAAAAATAAATCCTGATAGTATTTTTAGAGAAGCAGTCCTATCCAGCCATTCAATAGCAGGCATCAAATTCAATAAAAGTTCAATTTAACTCTGAGTGCGTACAAATGTTTCTGAGCTTGTGCATAACAATAAGCACATGTGTTGCATCATTGCAGACTCACACAGGAGAGAAGGAGAAGATCTGCCCGTACTGTGGACAGAAGTTCGCCAGCAACGGCACTCTGAGGGTCCACATCCGCAGCCACACAGGTCAGTGCTCACAGTGCAAACATACAACATGACATGATGACGTTTACTGATAAAACCTGGAGGTGTTCATCTGACGGTTATTACATACATAAGATTAATGCCGCGTATAATAATTGTTGTCATTATGTCGTTATGTGGTTATGCTTTTAACCACATATGACACAACATTTAAGACTGTGAACTCACTGAACCAAAAATTGTCAACGCATTGTCAGTTATTAAAGACTTTTAAAGCATTTTTTTAAAATTCAAAGGGATGTACCATAAACAAGAATTAGTTTATGTCATGGACTCCAGTAATCAAAGATGAAAATGAATAGGTTAAATCCAATGACTGTTTTCCTGTTGGTTCTTCATTGTAATGCGCTCTATAAGCTCAGTGCCCTGGGGTAGACTGACAGAAGCAAGGGTGCCAATTTGCGGCATCTGTCCCTCTTATCACCAGTCACTCATGTACACACCTCATTAAAAATGATAAAGTGGCTGAAGTGTTTTGCCTAAGGACACAAAGACAGAACTTGGTCCAAGAACTTACAATCCATTTACAAATACACAAGTTACAACATTTAAATCATATCTAACACAAAAACAGCATCATTACATAATCAAGTACGTTGTAAGTTACTTATTCTAATTATATTTGACCAGTGCATGCTGCTCTACACAACACACCCACTGCCCTGCGCCTGACTTCCTCTGTGCAAACGTACAGCACTATTATAAGGTTAAGAAAATTCCTGTGTTGCCATTTTCCCCGCGTGCTTCACTTTCTGTGTACACCGCCACAAAAAATAGACCTCTGGATGTTCATTAAAGAGCCTTAAACGGGATGGCTACACATTCTTGTCCGTTTCCTAACCAACAGACTGGAGCAGGCCTGGCACGACCACACACACTCTTTCATTCACTCGGACCTCTCTGCCTCCCCCAGCTTCCTCCCCTCTCTCTCCACAATGGACATTTAAAAGTCGTATTCTTTTATTGTCATTTCATGCAGGAAAAGGCCGTCTACGTTTTCACACTGCTAATGCTCGCCTAAATGTGACACAGAATTGTACCGTGAAATTCAATTACCATACTGTCCCTACTGTTAATACAGCACAGATGTCAGATAAACTAGATTCCCATCATAATACATTAAACTAAAATATAGACTCCATTTTGCTGTAGTTGCCCATTTAATATTATGAGGACTGGATACATTAGACATACTGTTTTATTTCACAAAATAATGTCATGGTTCTTTAACTGTAAGCATTGTACGAACGACTCACGTCTCTATTATAACTATATTAAAAAGTATATGCACACACGCAGCATCTGTTTAAAACTTAGGGAATTGTGTCTTAACTCAAATAAGGATCTTCCCAGGACAATATGAATCATAATGTATGTATACAGACAGTCTTTACAATATGGTTGTCACTCACAAACAAAGAAGATTAGACAGAAAGAGCTCTTGACAGCTTGTCTTGTAGCATCATTTTCAAATTTTTTGCCTGTCCATGTTCCATCCCAGGCTTTTAAACTCAAATCTAAACTTGTATTCACTCCTGACGTGTCCACTTAAGTTTGTATTTAGAGATTGTCCACACGTCTCTTAAAATACTCGGACAAAGCGAAGGAAAGTGAAAAGTATTGTACGCAGTGGACATGAGGCCACAGTGGTGAATAGTTTATACGGGTGTAGCTTTTGCCCGCAGGGAATCCTCTCTTCCAGGTGTCTGTATGAGAGTGGTGGCATGACGGTGGGCCTTTGACAAGCTCCCATTGTAACCTATTGAGTTTGTGTGTGTCTGTATACATGTATATGTGTGTGCAGGGCAAACCGTCCCATACCAGCAAGGGCCTGATTGTATTTATATAGAATAAACAAAGGAGAGGAATGCAGGGGGAGGTGTGGGAGCGGACTCAACACCTCCAAAGAAAAGAAAAGAAGTACAAAAAATGCAGAAAAGACCACTCCAAGAAAGCATCCAGCCACATGACCCTTGACCCTGACTGGCTGTAAATCTGTCCCCTGCTTCTATAGACTGGGGTTTGTGAGTTTGTTGTGTTTTTGTGTGAGGGAGAGGGAGGGAGAGGGGGAAGTAAGCTTTAGGTTTAAAAGTGTTGGTGGTTCCCCTGAGCAACATGGCTGACCAGACGCATCGCAAACACACAGAAGTGGGTTTGTGACAGACGACATGATATAGTATTTGTTAAGTGTAAACTAAGACTATCAATTCATACTAACTAAGGCGACTGTACGTTTATATGATGACGGAACAGAAGATGCAAAAGTGGTGTCGCATCTTCACTTTTTATTCCGCATTTAGATGGGTGTTTTCAAGAAGGAAATCTACGTGCATACAGTGCGGCCAAAAGTGTATGGAATTCGATTGGGTACGCATGCCATGTTTCTGTGTACTGTATGTATGTGACATAAGCGCATACGTGACGTGAGCAGATCTGACCAGAGTTTTGCATCTTGGGCAGTGTAAATGGAAACGCTACAGCATAGCGTATTCAACTTTTCCGTTTTTAAGACCCAAAAACACTCACTGTCACAGTCGAAACAAAATGCACTTCCGATAAAATATTTTGAAGTTTTTACCCGCAAGCGTTCACGTGTAAACAGGCCCTAAAAGGAAGATGGCACTCTATAGCTTAATAAAAATAGATTCCGGTATGAACAATTATCATATCAATAATGCATTAAAATATATATTATTAAATGCTGATTGTACTAATTAGAAAGCAGACACACATTTTCAAAAATATTTATTGCAATAGTCCTATCGTTAACCGTCTCTTTCCCCATGCACTTAAATCCTTCCACATTTTATTTATTACTTTTCCTATACATTGAGCTTTCATGTCTTGTTATTTTGTGTGTGTGTGTGTCTGTGTGTGTGAAATGTATGTGTTATACAACAAATTGTATGTAATGAATTTGAGGAGACCCCAGGAAGAATAGCTACTGATATTTCAGTAGCTAATGGGGATCTTAATAAACTATACTATGCATTTCTAACCTAAATAAGAAGAGACATTTTACCTAAACTCAGGCCAAAATGGGAAAACAGAAGTAGATTTATATGAGAAAAAGACATGCGCAATACAAGCGCACAAGCACTAAACCTCAATCAAATATGGACTATGTAATATAATAGACCAAAATAAACACCATGTAGGGATAAGGTTTTGTTGGTAGCCCACACTGGGATTGGCAGGGGTGTTCAACACTGCCACCTTGCCACCTTGCACTCCAGATGTGACCATTTGACCAATGAAACTTTAGACTGTGACCTTATCGACCATGTATGTGGCCAGTTGACCCAAAGCTGTCAGTTCTCCAGACGAGACACAACCTAGAACCGCAATGAAACCCTAACCTGAGAGCACACAGAAGCAGACGTAGGCCCGGGTCAAACCAGGACTAAAACAGGACACAACTGAAAAGGTAAAACTGCACAGTGAAGTTTAATCAAAAAATTGAACAAGATTTGCAGCAGACTAAACAATTAGAGATTAAATGTCCTATTTGCAAAAGGTAATGGAATAATGTCAGCTGTATTCATCCAAGTAACTTCTTTAATTCATGAGAATTTGAAGAAGAACTAAAAAAGCTTTCTTTTGCTGTGGAGTGTACGTCGACCACTGACGGATTACAGTAGTATATCATTCAGGCTTTCTGAACTGCTTGGACAGCATTAATACTTTGCTTACCCTAATATATGTGTCCAGAAAGCATGTTGAAACTGATAAACTAATTTACTATATTTATGTACAAAGACTTGACCTAAGGGCTAACAGATGAAGCTGTGTAAATTAGACTAAAAACAATAGTTTCCAACGTTTAAGAATTATAATCTCAATTTATCTAGGTTTGGAGCTGATATAACAGATCTAAGACCTTTACACAAATTAATCTTATTCAGTTATTTCAAGTATTTACAGCTATTCTCTGACATCATCTTTTAACAATGAGCTTTACTACAGCGCTGATGTAAGTAAAAGTCTAGCAGGATTGTGTTTTTTCAGCGGGTCATCTCTTAAAGCAGCCCACCAGCCGAGCAGACAGACCTTAAAATCAGCAGCTTTTCTGGACCCACAGCAGGAAAGCCTTGTGCTGTTTGTCTTCCTGCTTCACAGGAACAGCTCTGCATTGATTATTTACCTGCTAAACACAGAGGACTTTGTGAGCAGTCCTTGGAGATTTCCTTCCCCTATCACTTTACCAATACAAACTGGGCTACATTTGGTGAGAAGTTAGCGTTAAAAGTACTGCTGCTACAGTATTAAGTAGCTGCCAGGACGCAAAAAATATATTTAGCTTATAATTACATTGTGGTAGAACATTATGTCGCGCTCAAATGTATTAACTGAGCTTCGAAGTGGCGCAAAATTAGCTGTCATGATCTCAGAGATGGCATATATTATGGGCTGTCAGGGACTTTGACAACATAGCACTGATGATTGATGGTTCTCTCATCTCCAAGTGACTTGCCTTGGCCATGTTTTAGTCAAGCGTACTTTGTGTTAAGAGTGGAGTGGATTTTCCCCCCTTTTTGGCTGCCATATTGGTGCGGTAAATAAGAGAAGTGGGCTGTTGAGGATTATTTGTGCCAAGGGAAAGGCTGACAGCAGCGGAGTGCTCTGACTTCATCCACGTGTCATGTTTGGGTACTGAGCTGGGCCCATGTGTATATAGTGTTGTATATGATGCTCTATGGACAAAATGTACTTGAGTAACTCTGTATCTTAAAGTGCATATGGCAGATTTTCATATTTTTCCAATTATTACTTATCTGCTTTTGTAAATATTGATCATAGTTTTATGTCAGTGAAGTGGCAGCTTGTGAAAAAAAGTGTAGAAAAAAGTACAAAAACACAAGAAGAAGTAGTGCTGAGTTCTAAAACTTAAAACCTCTACCTACAGTATGTCATCAACACCAAATTCAGTCCATTGTAATAAATAAAGGTGTTCATTTATTTTAAGCAAGGCCAGGTCTTTT